ACACAGCGATGATTGTGAGCATGATACAGCACTTTTGTTGTGCATGGGTTGCTGAGTGAGAAATGGCTTGATGCAAATACTTCATGCTGGCACAAACAGTACAGATGAACTTGAAAAAATATTTGTAGGATAAAAGCTTGCCTCCATCCCAGAAGATTCCTTTGAACTGAACCAGTTAACAGACCTGTTCCCACTTTCCTCTGTACCTTTCACTATACCCCCCTTTCTCGGTTCTGACAACCTTGATGCCTTGTTCCATCTCCAGGAGAGTCAGGGAATCCATCACAGAGGGCAGGGGGTGATGGACATGGTCCCTGTGGAGGATGGGTGGGGAGTGGACATGGAGGTTGGAGAGCTGTACGTGACCCTCATGGAGGGCAGGGAGTTGGACACAGGTTCCTGTGGTTGCAATTCGGTGCATAGGCTAGAACTGGCCACGTGACCCTCTCTCTGCAGAATTCATGAGTCCAGCATCACCCCCATTCTTGTGGTTTGGTACACTGAAGCTGGCATCTCTGATTCTGAGGAGCCACATGATGGCCCTTCCGTCGTGGATGCAGTCAGTGTTCAAGGGTGTCAGCTGAGGACACTGCCGATAGCTGGCTGCTTTTTAGGAAATTCGGAAACATCAGGTGTGCACTTACTTCTTAGGAACTTGGGAATGTCTGCGCTCCAGGCATTCCAGGGACGGCTCTATGTGGCACTTGTCACCCAAAACTCTCCCACACAGGAAATGACACAATAATGCAATCGTCCATCTTTGCAAACCAGTTTACTGACTGTGCCTCAGAGCCCTCCCAGATAGCAAGGGCTGGCAGCAGGGACAGGGTTCGGGGAAGTCCGTTTCCAGTGCTGGAAATAGGTGAAGCCCAAGTGGCTGAGAGCATGGCTACTTGGGCCAGGAGGGCTACTCCCTGAGTGGGGGCTGCTGTACAGCCTCCTCCTCCCCAGAGTCCTGCTTGTCCTGTTCTGCGTCCATCCACTTCTGGGGCGGGATCATCTTCTTGGGTCCATGGGGCGGCGGGCCGATGAGGGCCTCGATGTCCTCATAGTTTACCACTTCCTTCTCCAACAGTGCGTTGGCCAGCTGGGGAGCAAGGAACAGTGTGAATCACCAGGACAAAGCAGAGAATAACGTCTCTGTCCCTGATGACCACACAGTAAAGCCTCTCTTGGCCTCTGAAATGCAAGGACTCGGGTTGAAAAGGTGTCTGTGTGTGCAGAATGTCCAACAATATCTCCCAGTAAGCAGCAAAGTTTGCTGGGAACGTTTTCATCCACCAGCCTTGTCAGTCCCTACTTCCTGTCCAAGTTCCCTTCCTTCACCAGCCAAGTCACATGTCTGTGATGGGAGAGTGGGATCTCCCTCCGCCCTCACTCCTGGGGAATCGGGCTGCACCTCCCCTTCTCTCTCACCCAGGAGCAGTGTCTCCCTTGAGCCCTCACCGCCTGTAGTTTATCCAGGTTGTCCCGCAACACCTGCTCCGTGTGTCTATAGGCTTTTGCCACCAGCAGTTTTGCTTCCTGCAAACAAAGGAGGCATGGTTGTGCAGCCCTTTATTAATCATGGGCCTCATGCCCTGCATGGTGCCCCCACAAGCCCCCCTCTGGGCAGGAGTGAACTGGACACTCACATGGTCCATCATGTCCTGGAGGCCCTGGCTGAAGGGGCGCCGGCCAATCCCAGTCGGACCCTCCTGGGCATCGGGGAAGGAGACAGGGCCAATGCGGGGGGCCATCCCAAACTGCTTCACCATGGAGTAGGCAATCCTGGTGACCTTCCGCAGGTCATCTTGTGCCCCTGGGCCAGAGGACCAAGTGAGTGCACACCGCCATAACCCCCATGGGCAGAAGTGCCAGTTTCCTTGTCCCCTCCCTCAGAACCACTACAACACTGAGGATATCTGCTTTCAGAACACTGGCACCCTATTAACACTCGGACTAAACGGCTGCCAGCAGGTCAGATCCAGTGTCACCGGGGACCCACCAGGCTCTCAGTGCCCAATGAGTGGAGGCTTGACAGTATTGAGTTGTGTTCCATTTTGACTTGCCACCACCAACAGTTACTGGCTCAAATGCATTCACAGTATGAAAGCATGTCAAAGCTGTCACTGTTGTGTAAATCAGAGAAAAGTCTGGTGTCCTCCCAGCCTCTGTGGGCCACTCACTGAAATTTAAAGCCACTAAGTCACCACGTCCAGGTCTGCACCAGGCTACCCCTGCCCCCACGTTGAACAGAAGGATGCTGCCAGGTAATTGGGACCCTCTGAGGCCCCATACACTGTGGCGCTGGCCTAGAGAGACTCAGCCTGGCTCCTCACCAGAAGTAACCCTGTTGAAGGAGATGGCCTCAGAGGCGCGGCCCCCCAATGCCATACACATTCGCTCAAACAGCTGCTCCTTGGTGAATAGATGCTGGTCCCGTGGCAACATCTGTGCGAAGCCTAGGGCTGCATTGGTCCGAGGCGCAATGGAAACCTGTGGGCATGGGGGAAGGGGCGCGGCAGACAGCAAGATCAAGGGTTTCAGGATGGAGAAGGATGAGGTAGGCAGACTGCCATCAAGCTCAGCCAGAGCCAACGCCTCAATTATGAGAGAGAACACTGCTTGTAAGGACGAGGAACACAGTCTCTTCAAGGCTTGGAAGGGCACAGCTGTCCTCTTCCATACACATCACCCAACAGGCCCTTCATGCATCCCGAGCCATGTCCCCAAAGGACCCTTGATTTTACTGGGCACCCAACCTAAAGTATTGCATTAGGCAAATCTGCTGCACAAGACCTTTTAAAGTGTAGAAGAACAAAGATATCAGCTTGAGGACTAAGGTGCGCCTGACCCAAGCCATGGTATTTCCAATAACCTCATATGCATGTGAAAGCTGGACACTGAATAAGGAAGACTGGAGAAGAATTTTGAGTTACAGTGTTGGAGAATATTAAAAGTGCCATGGGCTGCCAAAAGAACAAACAGATCAGCTTTCAAGAGGGAACCTAGATTCAGAGGGTGTGAGGGAAGGTAGAATCTCCACTGAGTAGTATCCAATCTGTCTAGGCGGGGCTGATGAAATGAAATGCACATAGGTCTCTTATGATACAATAGTGAATAACTGTTATCAGGACTGATTGTGAGGGTTGGAAATGTAAAGGTCGACGTTTTGTAGCAAGGAGGGGAGTGATTGACTTTGCAGTCTAGAAGCAGAGGTCCCTGGGACCATCAAGGGAGAAGAGCGGAGAGCGGGACCCTACCCAGAGAAGCAGTGAAGCCTGAGATGGAGGCAGAGACGATGACGTGGAGAGATAGAGCGGCTGGGGACTCTAGACACAGAGAGGGAGAGGGGCTGTGTGCTGATGACCGGGGGGCAGGCTTGTAGTGTATACCCTTTGGTTGGTTGATGATGCATGGAGGGAATTATAACCATGACAATGAAATGATATACAATAGGATGAATGTAAAACTAATGTTCTCCCATGTAAACTATCACAGAATTCACAATAAAACATTAAAAAAAAGAACAAACAGATCTGTGTTGGAAGAAGTGCAGCCAGAGTGCTTCTTGGAGGCCAGGATGGCCAAACTTTGTCTCTCATACTTCGGACATATTGTCAGGAGGAACCAGTCGCTGGAGAAGGATATCATGTTTGGTAAGGTTGAGGGTCAGAGAAAAAGAAGACGACCCCCAGTGAGATGGATTGGCAAAGTGGCAGCATCAATGGGCTCAAGTGTGGCAACATGTGTGAAGTTGGCCTAGGATTGGGCAGTGTTTCATTCTGTTGTGCACACTGTCACTACGAGTTGGTACCGATTCGATGGCACCTAACAACAACAACCTAAGTGCCCTCATCCCCTTCCCTGTTGCTCCAGGGCAAGACAGACCCACTGTTGACTGAGCGGTTTATAACACAACCAGCTCACAGATGTGTGAGAACAGGGTCTGAACTCCAGAGTCAGCAGAGCATCTCACAGTAGTGCCGGTGGTGCGTTGGGCGAAACCCAACTCAGACTCCACATGTGGATGAGGGCAGCAAGATGGCCAAGCTCCCATCCGTCCACTTCCCAGCACTCACCTCTAGATGTCACGTGTACGCCCAGTCCACCTTGAGGGACACAGGAACCCTCATCTGATGACTACCTTCAGCCCATCCCTCACCATGAGGTCCCCCTCTGAGACCTTCACAAGCACATGCACACACATGCATGTACACACACGAGCATGCCTGCTGTACCCACCTTCATCACAGCCTCCGTGTGCTCCAGCAGCCAGCCAACCAGCGCATGGCCCGACTCATGGAAAGCAACCACCCTCTGCTCCTCCTTTGACAGGATCTTGCTTTTCTTGGCGGTGCCTAGGAGGGGGATGGGAGGTGGGTCACCGAACTCTGGAGAACGGCCTTGACCCCTGGAGTCGCTGCAGATGTCCCTCAGCCCACTGAGGCAGGACCACCTGTGTCTGCCCAGCATCACCCTCCCTGAGGCCTGTCATCCCGTCACTCCACCACAGCGTCGGGTCAGGAGGTGGCAAAGCTCTTCTGACGTCTATCAACATCAAAGTAACCCAAACCGCCTCTGCAGCCTTTATGAATAACGTGCACACCTTCTGCGCTCTTCTCTGCAGTGACTGGTGGGAGGCCCTCTCTCTCCGCTGCTTTTCCCTAATCTGTGACCCTATCATGTCTCGGAAACACCTGTGGAACTTGCTCTGTTCAACGATTCCTGTGACCTCCATGTATCAGGCGGGGCGGGAGGTAGACTGAGGCTTGCACTGGGACCCCTCGCCCCTCGTTATTTTCTGGTTTAAAGGTCTCTCCTTGAGCAGCACCAAGGACACAGACACAGTGGGAGAGAGCAACCCCTCGGACCTGCTAAGATGCGCTCCACGGCGTACTCGAAGTTGGACGTGTGGACGGATGTGTGACCCTCCCTCGCAGCATGAAGCGCAGCCTCGTTGCAGATGTTTGCAATGTCAGCACCTGTGAACCCAGAGAGCAGGTGGTGGGACGTGCTGGGAAGCAGCAGGACCGAGGCCTGAACTCAGAGGTCCTAAGCAGGGACGACGGGATTGGCTCCAGGATGGCAGTGGAGGGTGGTGTGGGCCCAGACACACATGGCTGCATCCTGGCAGTCTGCATGCAGGTGCAGTACAGGTGCTTCCCGACTTACGGTGTCTTAGAGTTACCACAGGGCCATCTGCTTTAATTTTACTTTTTGTACATCTTAGGAAGATGCATACACTGTTACAGCATAATTTTCCGATGCCATCTCTCTCAGTGTGTTCAAAGATGACACTAATAAAGACACTGATAATAAAAGCTGATGAGGAAAACTGAAAGAAGGAAAAGGTACTCAACTTATATCAGTTATTGGAAGGGAACCCCACTGTAAGTCAGGGAGCACCTGTCAGTACAGTGAGGCCACCAGGGGGCTCCCCCTCATCATGGGTGCTGCACACAGGAGGGACATGCTTCCTACCACTGAATCCAGGCGTCAGCTCCGCCAGTCGCTGTGAGTAAAAGCTGCTTGCCTGGGTCAGCTTCAGACTCTTGAGGTGCTGCTCAAAGATCTCTCTCCTCTCCTGCCAGAGCACAGAGGAGACGCAGGCTCAGATGCAGCCCAGCAGTGCTCGAGTGGGCGGGAGCACTTTTGTAACACGTCCACCATGGGTATGAGTGGCCATGGGGCTGGGGATGGGAGGGAGTGGAGGAGACGCCTGCCTGCTCCACACAGACACTGGGCCAGTCACGTGGGAAGGGCTGTACCCAAAGCACACTGAGTGTTACCTGCAAAGTTCATGACTGGCCAGCCCTGACTCTGCTCGTCTCCGTGGTCCCTACCTGCAGGGTGGGGAAATCGATGAAGACATGACGGTCGAGCCGGCCAGGCCTCATCAGCGCGTTGTCCAAGATGTCAGCCCGGTTTGTGGAGGCCAGGACGATGACATGGTCTGTGGTACCCATTCCTGGAGGAAGCATAGATGTGCCCCTTCAGAGACACTGCTTGTCACATGCAGGCTGCCGTGGGACCCGGGAGGGCGACCACAACTCAGCTGTGATCCCAGTGGTCATGGCAGCAGAGCACATGGCTTGGGTCTACCCTGGACAGAGGGGCTGCATGGCTTTGGGCGCTTACAGGGTGAGGTGGGGGTCACGCAGGACACCATCAGCCCACCCATCAGTGTGCCCTCTGTCCAGCCATACCACAATGAGGGGGACAGCTCATCACTGATAGTCTTTGGAACCAAGAACTGCTAACCTATAGGCTGGAGGTTCAAATCCCCCCAGAGGTGCCTCAAAGAAAAGGCTGATCTACTTCTGAAAACCCTACGGCACCCCGTTCTACTTGAAAACAGGTTCCGATCCACGGCAATCGATACTAGGCAGCAACCAAACCCAAACCAGATCATTAGAAGTCTGCCTGAAGAACCTACAAAATTAAAATCTGGTCATTCAAGAAAAACAGCTTCATGGCATTAATGGTGGTTGTAACCCTGACACCAAGGAAAGGGTGTTAGCAAGACTTCTCGAAGGTCGAGCACAGAGCGCAGCGCCTGCTCAGAGTAGCCACCGACCTCAGCCTGTACACCACATCCAGCGCACCTGGACTTGCTGAAATGAAACCCTACTGAGCCCCGAGCCTACCACCAACAGCTTAGTTCCCAACCCAGGCTCTGGACCGTCCTGACTGAAAGCTGTTAACCGAGTACAGCAAGACGTTCTGCTTCCCGTGATCCTTACTGTGACAATGTTGGGTGGCTGCAAAACTCCACCTGCACCCTCATCGCCCCAACACATATGACCGTCCATCTACCCGGGTAGGGAC